ATAGGATATTTCTCCATCCAAGGTCATTTGAAAAATTCAAAAATTTAAAATTTGAAATGTGAGAAATTAATATATATACATCTGGGTCCTTAAACGATCTTGAATAGAAATTTCATCAACTATAAAGTTTTAGATCTTGTCGAGCTCTATAATTTTGATATAAATTTTGTCTTCATCCAACTTCATTTAAAAAAGTTATTAATTTATTTGTGCTCTAGCTATTTTTAAGGATGGCTGACTTAGTCAACCATCTTTGAAAATTGATTTCTAGAGCTTCTAGAGGTGGAAATCACCTATTTTCAGAGACGGTTGACCTAAGTCAACCATCCCTAGGAATCACCTATTTTCAGAGACAGTTGACATAAGCAACCGTCTTTGAAAATCATATTTAAGAAGTGGTTCTCTTAAACAAACCGTTCTTAAAAATATATACATTTTCCGTGACGATTTACTTAATAGAATCGCCTCTAAAAATGTATTTTTGTGGGTGGTTTATAAGCTATAGTGCTCTCTGGGATGGTTACAAACAATTTGCTAAGTAGACCGTTCTTGAAAGTAATATGAGCATCCCTAAAAATGATTTCTAGTGTGATGCACTCATTGTTCTAGGCACTGTTGCTTACTTGTTTTGCTTTGCTTGGTGTATTGTCCGATGAAACACCTCTCCTTCCTAGACCATCTGGTGTGTGGAGTATATTTGAATCCTCAATAATCTTCCCTTCTCCGTTGTTCTTTTTGCTGCTATACCTGATGCTCTTTAACGGATTGTTCGAATGAGTGCTTTTGATCGATCTTCGTACTATCACAACCTTGCACTTTTCCTATATCCAGTGCATGTTCATTTCTCCAGCATTGGACTATCTGATGTGTGTGTTGTTTGCACACTAGCCTCTGCCACCGCACTGTTTGATATCCTAGTGAGTGGCTCTTTTTTGTCCTAGAGGATATATCTGGGGTAGTCACAATTCTTTTGGCACTCAGTTTCGATGGCTTCTCTTGTAATGGTATGGTGGATACAGCAGTGCCAGTGCTCGGACATCCGGACGGATGCCCGGGTCTGGACGCCTGCACCTACACTTCATCTCCCGCGCACGTATGCACTCCACGCCTGCGCCAGCATTCCCTTGCCCGCGCTTGTGTTTCACACGCCACGCGGGCCCGTGCCACCAGACCGAGCACGGGTACCGCTCGCGTCCCGTCCGTTTTTCACACGCATTGCAACATGTGCAATACCTGTTCTATTTTTGCAACATCTCAGATGAAACACTTACAACATACGTCCGAAACAGCTGAAACACTTGCAGCATACGTCCAAAACACTTGCAAAAACACATGAAAAACACTTGAAAGCCATTGCAAGCATATGCAACATCCAAATAAAATATTTGCAACATATGTGTGAAACATATGCAACATCCAGATAAACACACTTGTAACTTACGTCTGAAACAACAGATGAAACATTTTGAACAAACTCTTGCAACATACGTGTATAGCCATTGCAACATGTGCAACATCCTAATCTACTTTTGCAACATCCTAATGAAACACTTGCAACATCCCTTTGAAACATCTGAAACACTTGAAACATATTTTTGCAACATGCGCTTTCAGCGCAACATCTCCTTGCTGTTTGGGAGAATGGAGGCTCGTCGGCTTGTGGAGTTTACCGGTGTAGAGCTCGTCGGTGGCGCGAAGCTCGCCGCTCTGGTGGAGAAGGACACGACAGGTCCGATGTAGAAGGTCGCTCCGGCAGAGAAGGCCGCGGCGGATCTGGTGCGAGCTATCACTGCTACGGTGGAGACGGCGGTCCGCGCGCTGGAGAAGGCCACGGCGGGCAGGAGGCGCGATGGAGATGCAGGAAGGCGACCGGGCAGCCACGCTCGGGCGTGGTAGAGATGCCGGCCGGCAAGCCCAAAGACACCGTGGAGAACGCTGAGGCGACGCGGCGGAGCGCGGTCACGGTGGAGCACGGCTGTGACGCTACGTTGGAGAGCTTTTTGGAGAATGGAGACAGCAGGCTATGGTTTAAGGCGAGTTGTCGAGAGGATACGGCTGTTGGGCCGTTGGGCCAGTGTCGCGGCCCGCGAACAGAAACGTCCGAACGATCGGAGCCGTGACCATAGCATTTCCGATTGTAGATATAGTTTATGGTACACGTACATTCGTAAAAAGGTATTTTTGTTATAGAAAATAACAGTTATTTTCAAGTTTTTCTAAACTGATGATCTCATGATGAAGTCAGGCTCATGCAAACATTTTTTTCCTTTGCAACGAAGATCGTGTGCCGACATCAATGTATCTCCATCCATTGTGATGCATTGACTTCTGACTTGCTGCTTGTCACTTGTCAGTCTCTCTCTGCAAGTCGCCGGTTTTGCCAGCGAGGGTCAAGTTAATTGCAGTGAACCTTCCTAGTACAGAAGATACCCGTCTAGTAACTTGTGGATGAAGTTTAAACACTAGGCCAAATCCTAAATTTCCACACGATTTTGTCCACAAAATCTTGATTCTCAAGACAAATCAACAGATATTTTTAAATATCAAGTTCTACCTACTTTGCTTTGTTTTTCATGAGTTGGCGTGATATTGATGGACACTGAAGTATTTGTGGATATACTCTCTCCGTCCCTAAATATATGTCGTTTTTGTTTCCCGAAAAATAATTTTGACTAAATATATATATATAATATTAATATTTATGGTATATAATTAATATCATTAGATAGATATTTGAATCTAGTTTTTTATAAATTTATTTAGAGATATAAATGTTGCACGTATTTTCTACAAATCGAGTCAAACTTTCGGCACGGAAACCAACGGCGACAGATAATTTGGGCCCCGTTCGGCTTACCCAAAAACCGGCTTATTCGGCTTATTTTTTCAGTCGGAATAGTGTTTTTCTCGCACAACAATTCAGTCAGAACAATATTTTGAGCCAGTTTCAGCAAGCCGAACGGGGCGCTAGGACCCGGAACAGTGTAGGAAGCACCCAATGAATTGATGTGGACCTGGAAAGACGCGTTAACTGATGGGCAAAGAGTCATCGGCCGCGGGGCGCTAGGACCCGCGTTGGGCCAAGCACCGCTAGCCGCAGGAGCGCCGCTGGTCCAAGAAGCTTAGGCCGGTGGATCACCTCCTACCCGTGGGAGAAGAGCATAGAAGGACCTCGACGATGCACTGATTGGAGTGTCTGTTAGGCTTCCCGATCTATCTGCTTCTCTTCCGGCATCATGTTCCGGCGAGGGCTCACCCATGGTGGCGGCGCATGCGCTCGCAGAGGGAGGAAGAGAGAAGTGTGAAAGGGGAAGAAAGGTACGTGAGGAAACAGGCGTGGGGACCCTATGGCAGGATGAAAAATACTGTTTCGGCTGATTGTTGTGAGAGAAAAATACTGTTCTGGCAGGACGTGAATAGTGATTTTATGAGGTGGCTGGCCAGCCGGCAATCAACCAGCCAGCCAACCGAACACCCCCTGTAATTGTAGTCCGTTCATAGGAAAGCGAGCCTAAGTGAGAGAGTTAGGATAAATTACTTTTTTTAAGCTTCATCTCACTCCATCCGTTTATGAGAGCACTTTAAATAGGAGTTTCACCCACAAAGTTCTTTTAAGAAAGGTTATTAGAAAAAAAAAAACATCTCAAGAAACTGTTGGTGAAACTAGCCTTGTCAAACAAAGCCATAATCCTGACATACTCACTCCATAAATTCACTCATGCATACGCTCTACCTATATAAGTATATATATCTAAGAGACTAATAAGATGATAACTACCCCGCAAAAAAAAAAAATGATAACCTTGAGATTGATGAAGTCAGTCTTGCAGTTGACGGAACTACTCACCTGCTTTTACTAAATGAATAACACCATTTGTTCTTGAAAAAATAAGAAAAAAAATGAGAGCACATGTGCCAAGCCTATATCCATCATCTTTTCTGTCCCTGCAACCTTCAGGTCACCTGCACTAGTGCGAAATATAGCGTCCTTTCGTGAAGGCAACGGAATAGAGATATGGAGAGTTTTTTTGGTGCGTAGGTAAAATGCTCCCATGCCGCTGTAGAGAGACACGATTTTTAAAAAAAAGTTTGTACACACATGCATGGTCCCCTGTAGCTCCACCGGCCGCAATATGTTTATCGTCACGCTCCCATGCCGCTGCTCATCGTGCACCTAAAAAACAGCCAAGGCAGCACTCCACGAAGAAAGTGCACACTTTTGGTAGAGGGAAAACAACGACGTCGTCTCACTCTCACACTCACCCGATTAAACTAGAGAGTATATCCTCGCACGTACCAACATGGCAACGTACTCTTAGGGTCTGTTTGGATTCATTAACAGAGAGAAGTAATCTAGCTAATAGCACATAGCTAATATTAGCTGGATAACAATTCATTATCTACTTATTAGCTGAGAGGGTGTTTGATACACAAGCAAATTCATTGTACCCAACTACCTATTAACGTCACGCCTTGCGAGATTCGTGCTGAGCTCCCCGCCGGCGACGCTTCAACCCGCTCTGAGGTCCGCGTCACGCCTCCCGTCGCGTGATGTGCTCCGGCCGTCGACGCCTTGTCCGAGGCCGCCGAACTGCCTCACACCATTCTCGGGTACCCAGCTCCACCGCCCTACCGTCACGCAGCTACGCGGCTCCCGCGCGCGTGCTAGAGCAGCTGGTGGAGGAGCAGAGGCCCTCCGCCGAGATATGCACCCACTCGAGTTCTCTGTCCCTTACATGCAGCTGGTTATTTTGTCGGTCCGATCTGCTTGGATCTAGAGGCTTCAATGGTGGAGGGAATTTGTGTGCTGCCTGGGAGATGAATTTGGTGCTTGATGTTGCTGCATATGGAGAAATTGGGTGCTGGATTTGAGCAGAGAAGTGATGTGGTGGCTTCAGCTACCCGGCCGCGAGTCACGACCTCGAGGACACAGCGGCGGCGGCGTTCAGCCCCCTGGCGAGGCCGTGCACGGCGCTCTGTAGCTGCGGTTGCTGAGCACCATGCGGCCGAAGAGGAGCAGGCCCTGGCGGTACGGCAGGGACGTCCGGCGCCGCATTTCCTCGGCCTCGGCACGCCGCGACTTGTACAGGCGCTCGTGCGCGGACCTACTCCTGCCACCGCGGTGCCCCGGCGCCCCGCCCCTCCCCTTCGCAGCCGCAGCTGACGGAGATGGAGATGCGCTCGTCTTCGCCGCCGTCGGACTTGCTGCGATCGGGCAGGTCCTTGAGAACCCGCCCCAGCGGCGGGAGCCGCGGGAGGACGAGGACGACGCGGGGGCGACAGAGGAGGCGGTGGACGACGATGAAGACGAGCGCGACGCCGCGAGGGTCGCCGGCGCCGGCTGCTGCGCGCCTGCGTCTCGTCGGCGAACTCGGGCTCCGGCACCAAGTGGGACGCGGACCGCCGGTGCGTGCGGAACGGGGACATCGAGCGCGCCTTTCAGCGCACGAAGCGGCGCCGGACGCGGCCGCGTTCGTCCGCCTCCGCCTCCTCCTCGTGCTCCGCGGCTGCGTCGGGGAAGTCGAGCAGCACGGCGGGGTCCGGGTTCGGCTGCAACAGCGCGGCGGCGAGGCGGACGCTCTCGGAGACGCGGCCGCCGGCGAGCGGAGGCGGAGGGGCGTGGCGGCATTGGCGGAGAAGACGAGCGCGACGCGGGCTGGGAGGCTTCTCCAAAGGGAAGGATCAGTTTTGGGAGGGTGGGTCCCACTGTTAGCTGTTATTAGCTGCTTTCATTCAGCTGGTGGGACAGTTATATTTGATCATTTAGCTAACAACTATATGACATATTAGACCGTCTTCAACAGACTACGCATCACATGACCCATACCCAAAATACATCGTTCACAAAGAAAAAACACCCTCCACCAGACTACGCAAACGGATTACCTATTTTACGTCCACGATGAGAGAGAACCTAAAACTGCGTCGCCTTCTCCCCGCTCTCCTCCGACGCCGCCCTCTGCCCGCACTTCCCTCCCGCGCCCGTGAACGCCGGCGCGGGCACACTGGACCTGTCCTTCACCTCCACTGCCTCCGCCTCCATCTTGTCCTTCACCACCGCCACCACCTTCAGCGCGCAGAGCTCGCTGTCGCTGCCGTCCTTCTCCTCCTCCACGTCGCTCTCCCCGCGCCCGCACTCCTCCTCCGCGTCCCCGCACTGGGCGCACTCGCCGCGGCGTGCGCCGCCACGCCCGACGGCGTGCTCCGCCTCGCGCACCTCCACCTCGTCCGCGAGCTCGGCCACGGCCACCTCGCGCGCGTCTTCCTCTAGCAACGGGGTTCGCGCGCCCCGGCGTGGGTGTCGCGCGCTCCGGCAGCGGGGGCCCTGCAGCGGGTGCCGCGCACCTCGGCGGCGTGCTTCGCGAGCTCCAGAGGCGGATCGAGGCGGTACGAGGCACATCGAGGCGGATCGAGGCACATCAAGGCATATGCGATGGCGTGCGCCCGGATCCCTCCTTCCTCGGCCAGATCCGGCATGGAGGGGAGTGAGGAGGAGGCCAGCGTGGAGGCGGGTGGCGCTCGGCGGGGAGGGAGGCGGGCGGCGCTCGGCGGGGAGAGAGGCGGGCGGTGCTCGGGGCCTCTCTTTTTGCGTTCGCTGTTGGAGTTCGCCGGTTTGGGTTGCGTTTTTCCTTCGCTGTGCGTGACCCAAATGGTAAAATAGGTCTTGTGTTTGGATCGGCTCTGTTGGAGATAGTCTTATCTATACCTGTTTGGATAAAAAAAAGATAATTGTTAGCAGATAGTTACTACCTAGAGGAAACCAAACAGGGCCTTATATTGTGTATGCTATAGCTGGACCGGAGGAAAAGCAGTGACACGTAGGGAAAGGCACCAACCGTCGAAACGTACGAAGCCTCCTTCAGGTGGTTTTTGCTCTGCACGCCCCCGCCTTATCCCACCTGCATGTGTTTGCATGCACGGCAAATAAAAGCAACCGGATGAGGATGAGATCGATCGAGGCACGTCAACACCCTACCAAACCGCACTCGATGTGTCAGCAGCAAAAACAGCTCTAAGTTGGTGGAGTGGCAGTGTGGCACAATCTAGTGGAGATTACGGAAGATTGGCTGGGCTAACGATTGGACCGCCCACCCAATAACTGTTCTTGATTTGCTTCAATATTTTAAAATGGTGACAAGCTCAAGCGGTAGCTTTCTTTGTTGTTGGTGCTACAAGCCCACTGCCGAGGACTCCGGGCTTGCCTTTGGTGCTGCCTTTTTGCCGCTCATCAGCGCGGAGTAGCTGATCGATGATGCGGGATGTGGTCGGTCGCGGAGAAAATTAAATGTTGGCAACTTTTCGGACGTGCAGCGCCGTGCGCGTTGCATTGCATTGCCTCAATTGGTGCTTCCTGTTCGTGGCGACGCGTTCCGCCGGCTGGCCATGCATGCACGATCGCGCACGCGAGGTGGTGAAATTTTTGTATTTTTGGTCCCTTTGAAAACATTTTTTACAAGAAGACCTACGTCAAAACGTTTTCTAAAAATAGACCATTTTTAGGCGTCTTAAAACATAACACCGAGGTATGAGGGTCGGCGTCGACTGACACGACGCCGAGGTATTGCCACGTCACGGACGACCCCGGTCGACGGCTACACTGTGGCGCGTGGGATACGAGACGTCGGTGTCCTGTCAGCACACGCCACGGGCCCAACCTCGGCGCGGCTGGACTGAGCGCCGAGCTATGGGCACCATCCGGCGCGTGGCCCAGGCGGCCCAACAACGCATCGTGGCCCAGTAGCTCTCGGCGCGGGGTCACTTAACGCCGAGTCACTAGACCTCGGCGCGGCCCGACTTAACGCCGAGGTCCCCTTTTTCTTTCTCCCTCCATTCTAATGAACTTTTTTTACTATGTTGTAATGCACTCTACTTTTATTTCAGATAAACTTATTCCCTAGACTTTTTTTATTATGTTGTAATGCACTATGCTTTTATTTCAGATGGTCTTATGCCCTATACTTCGTTAACTATCCTAGCACTGTAGTGCTACTGTTTGTATCACTGAAAAGGCTACTTGTGCTGTTGCAGTCACTGAAAGGGCTATAAGTAGTGTTGCAGTCAATGAAAAGTCTATTTGAAAACTCGCTGAAAAGCCTAGATTCGTTTACTGTTGTATCCGTATACGCAATGAATTAATATCAGAGTGATGTACTGCATTTAGATGATGTGACAAAACACAGGTGTAGCCTTTTCAGATGAAATGACCAGTCATGGTTGTAGGCTTTTCAGATGAAGCATCTAGCGTTTGCAGATTCAATAAATGAGTATGCACACAAGTTTTTTGTCAAGTAGCATTCATGGTGAACCTGCCTTCATCTCTATATATAGTGCTCTATGTCTTGCTCCACATCCACACAACTTGTTTTCTGGTTTAGTTTTAGCAAATATCGAGCGGAGGTTCCTCGAGTGGAAAGGGTTTCGACGGAGGGAGAGGAAAGGGGGTGAGGAAGGGACCTCCAATTGTGTGAGAGGGTTTTCTGGGTCCTGATTCTTTTGAAGAACCAATAGAGGAATTTTCTTTGGAGAGGAAGAGTGACTTCACCCGTGAGAGACATCTTAGATCATACGACAAGCGCATTGAAGATTGGCTAAAATGCCGCCACGGTTTGGATTGTGTTGTGCAGATGTACAACGACTGTGACGGTGGAGGCCGTCGTTTCTTCAGATGCCCGCGAGGATTTGTATTTCCTTTGAACTCTCTTCTTTTTTAGATTTGCATTTGATTTGTAGTAGTACTTATTGGTAGATGGGTTTTCAGGATTCAAGCTATCCAGATAACTGTGGCTTCACTAGATGGGTCGACCCTCCTCCTATCTATCCCCATCAACAGTACATCACATATCTACAGGGACGCATCTTTGACCTAGAGTATGGCCCTGGAAGTGGTAACAGGGACAAGTCGGACGGCGACAACAGCAATGATGCAGAGGAGGCACTATGCAATAATCCGTACTGCCAGTGCCCGTACCATAAGAAGCACGGGCCTCCTTCTCCACCGCCACCGCCACCGCCTCTGTCATTTGGGGGATACTGTGGGGAAGGCGCAACTCAATATGTGGGACCGTTATTAGGATCAACCTTTGTTTGTTAGTCAATTCGAATGTGGAATGCTTGTATGAGTTGTTCTTCTCAAACCCCTAAGGCATGCTAGGTCTAGTTTGCAACATGCCATTGTTAGTTTTCATGTGAGTGTGTAATCGTAGTACCTTTGTAACGTCTATATCACTTGTTTCTTTCAATCCCTAAGGCATGGTAGGTTTAGTTTGTGACATGCCATTGTTAGTTTTCATGTGAGTGTAATCGTAGTGCATTCGCTATTTCATAAATTGTAGTTTACCTATCTCTAAGTTTCATGTACTATGGTTGATTCCGAAACTTAAAAAAAGATTTGACTCTCTCTAAGAATAGGGGATTGAAATCGAACATTACAAATGAGAATAAAAGAAATAATAAAAGAGTACCAAAAAAGAATAATCAAAAAAGAAAAGGAAAAAGAAGTAGAACAAAAAAAAGAAAAAAGAGAATGGCGTCGAGTCAGCCCACGCCGAGGTAAAGAAAATGGCGTTGAGTCGGCCCACGCCGACCCTAGGGTTTGGCTCGACTGGCCCGCCAGGTTTGGGCTTCAGCTCGGCGCTGAGTCGGTCCACGCCGAGTTTGAACACAGAGGCGTTGAGTCGGTTGTGTACAAATGGAGTACTCTTGCAACCATGATTTCAACTCATCCATGGTAGCAAATAATATGCCCTTCCGTATGATGAGCCAACCGCTAACATCAGGCACTGTTGTATCATTTGGCCCACCATCAGCTACTGCCCTGCGACCATGGCTAAGGTCCTCGAAATCACCAACTAGTGGATCTCTCCAAGACAAGACCCTAGACAATATCTCTATTTCCCTAAAATTGAGACGACCAATAGGCCGATCGTCATCAGAGTCTTCGGCTATCTCCCCTATGAAGGATTCATCATCTCCAGCCATCTCCATGTCAAAACGGTTCGTAGCCCTAGCATCACCAAAGTCTTCTTCACCACTAAGATCATCTTCGTCGCTAAGCTCATCCTCAATAGAAAAGTCTCCGCTAGCGTCGTCCAAACCTTCTTCTGCATCACCAATTACATAATCATCATCCTCTTCATAACTATCATGATTGCCCTCACCATCGGCAACCGGATTCTCCTCCTCATCTCCACCGTAGCCTAGTTGTGTGACAAGTATTTCTTCTTCAGACAAAGGACCATAACCTATGTGAGCGGGGGAAGATGGGCATGCTTCAAAACTATCATTTCCTAAGCCAGACTCCTTACTTACTACTAAATCCAAAGATCGCACTTCTGAGGCCAATACAACTGCCTTGTAATCATTTCATTCAGACTCGCTAGTAATTTTGAGCAATCGCTTGATCCGAGGACCCTTCGACGATCCAACATCTATGACACCTTCAAACTGAACATGCACTTCTCCTTCATTCCAGCCTAACTTAACCTTCACTCGCTCCACTAACTGGGTCAAAGATGGTGTTTCAGAAAAAATCAACAACTCCTCACACATGTCCAGAAATTCCAAACTATCATCTCTTGTCCTAACAATACGGCCTCCATGATGCAACCTCACTAATTTATCCATCTACAGCCATCACACAACAAGTAGTGTCACATATCAATATATTATGCGAGTTTCAATCCAATAAGTAGAAACTAAAATATATCATTTCATCTTTTTCAACCCCAACAACATAATCATTTCTAGTCATAAAAAATTGAAATGTAATGACCAACAAATAAATAAAATGC